TAAAAACGGCCTGTTTTTGAAGTGTTTATAACCGCGTAATTGTACCCATATTACAATGACTGCAGTTCTTTTGGCCACTTAAAATACTCTTACAGAACTGTGACGTTATATTTCTTAGCCAGATCTCTCTGGAAATCCCAATTTTATGTCCATAAGACTCCAATCATAACAACCCAAATGATCACACTGAATATAAAACGAACGAACTGCATTTCTTGCAGCATAAGCTCTCTGTAGGCCGCTCCTCTCTCCTGACCGAGGATGATCACTGTAGAACTACACAGCCTTACATGACGTGACACCATTTTGTCCGCATTAGGGCGAAGAAGACGGGAAATACCACAGCGAGAGCCCAGCACGGCCATATATATGGGACTTCATCTGCTCTGTAACCAGGCCTGAAACAATCTCCTCAATTTATATGTCTGTGTTTTACTTACCCCAACACGCCGAGGCTGTAGAAGTTACAGGCTTTTGTGCCCGATGGCAAACGTCGGGCAGACAACATGTTGTGCTGGATGTTGAATAAACGGTTTCCTCGACGCTGAGTCCCGAGTTATAAAAATAGTTTTAACTTCAAAGTTAAGTCATTGTCGTCTTCGAGTACTGGATATCCCAAATCTTTTTTTCTACATTATCCGTTAACGACCGAGATAAAACCAAACGTTCTTCTTCCCCTCGAGCGGACTAAAGGGAGAAAACGTCACGAGCAGTAGGCGTTTCACTAAAGTACAAAGCTCCTCCTCCTCTTCAGCGTCGCTACACAAACGAGCCAGTATGCTGAATAAAGGCCGCTCACCAGTGTGCGGAGAATATCTGACAATGTCTATAACTGTGGTAATAGTAATATTTTAGTTACACTACTTAAATTTTCAAACAAATTCTTACTTTAGACAACTGAAAGAGTAAAATTATGCAAAGACCTTGATATAATTATTTTAGCTCCCTGAAACATGTCATTTAAATGAAAACCTTTACTAGAATTAAAACAAATATTCTGAATATATTATGATTCAGATTTGATTGATTATAATTATCCTTTTATGCTGACTGTGTGGTTACTGTGTTTAAACTACAAGTAGATGTGCTACAGACTAAATCGTTGTATTATTTCTGTTCTGGGTTTTAACTGATTAATTCAGATTTAGCAATTTGATGATGGATCCTCCTTAATTGTTAAAAAGTATTGGTGATACAGACCCTTTATTTACGTGGTATGGGATTGATAACAAATCTTGCAGTGGCACGCACCGCTGCCAAGGATGGCATGCTCAGGGTGCAAATCCAGGGAGCTAGGCAGCTCAATTCAGCAGCAGCTGGAGAACTTGCTCTCCCTGCTCAATCAGAAGCTCATTTAGAAAATTTAAGTGCACACAGTATTTGCGGTCATGCTGTATGAACTTGTGTTCACAGGCAGCTTGTGCAGGCTCTTTACCAGTGTAAGGTTCAGTGCACCTGGTGTATAAACTAGAGGCTCAGGAATGTCAGCCTACTTAAAACAACCTGGACAAGTTCATGTCGTCTTCACCAAAGGAACAGTTGTTTATAGATTATTTTTATTCATCTGTACACTTGTTCTAACAGGTCTAATGGTCAGGTTCACTTGATTCAACCAGCATAAACCACGGACTCTTGGTCTCTCTCTGATTGGCTGCTGTAGAAGTAAACAGTTTGACCTTTAACCTCTCTGCTCTGTGTTGTTTCCTCTTCAGACCAGGAAACCATCACAGCTGAATCTGGACAGGATGTCACTCTGACATGTCGAGCTCCAAACAACAACGGTGACATTGTAGAGTGGAGCAGAACAGACCCGAGAGATACGTTTGTCTTTGTGTTGAAAAACAAGAAGCACAACGGAGATGTTCAGGACCCATCCTTTAAGAACCGTGTGGCTCTGCAGGACAAAGATATGAAGGATGGAAATGTGTCTGTGATTCTGTACAATGTGACGGCTGCTGATAATGGAACATATGAGTGTCGCATCATTGAGGCACGAACAGCCTCATATGCCCTCATCAGCAGCATCACCCTGAGTGTTGATCCTCCAGGTGAGTGAGTAGAGTTGAGTGTGTGTGTGATCAGAGGTGAAGCTGCTTCCTGCTTGTTGATGTTTGTTTCTAAAGATGTTGTTGATGAGACTTTGTAGAAAGCAGCTGGTCTGAGTGATGTGATCAGAGTGCAGTAGATAATGTCTGACAGCAGTTTGAAGAGGAAATGGATTCTGTTCTGTTCTTCACTCATCACCTACCTGACAGCTGACACCTCACACCTGTTTCTCACCTGCAGGTCAGACAGGAGGAGACACAGAGGATGGAGGGAAGGAGGCTGGAGGGAAGGAGGCAAGAGGGATGGAGGATGGATCTGTTGGACTGAAAGTTGGTGTGACAGTTGGGGTTATTGTTGTCGCTGTTGTTGGTGTTTGTTTTTTGATCTACAGAAAACGTAAACAACATAACCAGGGTTCATACGAGCCTCCAGTTTAATGTCAGCCTGTTGGAAATGTCTCAGTGTTTTCCAGCTGATCTGAGACTCCTGCTGTTACACAGGTGACACTGAGCACTCAGGGTAAAGCCAGTTGTGGTTTTTCAATCATGTAAGTGAAACAGGAGCAAACTGAAATGTCACACATGCCATCAAGAAGTAGCAAAAAAGATTTTTATGGGTTTTAAATGTTCTTTTAATTTTAGTCCAGGAAACCTTTTCAGGTTTTATGTTTAAACGTCCATTATAGAGTTGGTTTTTATGGGTAATAGAAAAATAGTTCAGTAAGTTTAGTATTATAAAAGTCTAAACTGCTTACAAAACAAATGTAAATCAGGTTACTAACATCAAACATGTTCTGTTTGTACTGTGAGCTGTAGCTGCTACTTCCTACTCTCGACCTCCTGCTGAGCTAACGTCTCTTTAACTTTACTTTTAATATCAAACTACCTGCTGCTTGACTTTAAACAGATAAAACACTCATGTTTACATCACAGAAGCTTTTAATATTTACTATATTCAGCTTTAAGCACTGCACACACTTCTTAACTTTGTTATTGCACACTAGTTGTTTATTTTTCTTTCTGCCTTAATAAAAACTTTCTGACTTGTCCAATCAGTTCGTGCAGATTTCAGGGACTTTATGATCAAAATGTTTTACTGTAAAAGTGCCTTCAGGTGGTTGTTGTTGTTGTTGTTGTTGTTGTTGTTTCCTGGTGCTTCATGAATAGACTCAAATTTTCTTTTAAATCAGCTTCAATCAAATAACCATAACCTTCCACCAGGGAGCACTTTAACATACACAGACCTGTCTGTAACCCATTTACTGTTAGTTTTCTTATGGTCTTCTTACTTAACCCGTATGCTTAGACACTCGAACACATTGCACAGTAAGAGTTTATTGGTGCTGTTATTTACTTTTACATAGAAAAATTTTCTATTTAAAAATATATTTAAAAATTCATCTGTAGATATGACTTTGTGTTAATTTTCAGATATTAAATCATGTTCATTGTATCTCCCAAAGTAAAAGCTTACAGGCAAACATCACATTCATCATCAGTGATTCATTCCTTTCTAAACTGTAAATGAACACAATAAAATACATTTTTCTTCATGTGGTCGTCTGCTCTGAATCACTTTATAAATCTGCATCATGCTTTCATTTCACTCTCATCACTCTTACTGCATGAAAACGTGCTGTGAGCACTTTAGTTTTGACTCTCAGCTCTACCAGCCTGAAGTCATTTACTTCACTGATGAACTTTCTGAAAACAGTCGTCTGTCTGCAGATTCTCTCAGACTGGATAAAGACAGATGTCACAGATGTTCACTTTATTGCTCCTGACAGATCATCAGACACCAAACTGCACAGTAACTAAGACTCATGTGTGAAAGTGTTCCTGCTGCTTTAAGTCTGTGGCTCACATGAACTTTGTTATCTGCTCTGAAGAGGACTGAAGTGGGTTTGGGTTCACCACAACAACTCACGTTTTCCATCAGACATCTTTGTGAAACCCACAGAAGCACACGAGAAGATCAAGTGAGACCAAAGTTTATTGAACCTGCAGAGAAACCAGATCACTGCTGTGGAGACGACAGCACACTTAGAAATAACATAAATAACAGCAAAGTTACTGAAGACATAAAACATGGATTACATCTACATTTTAGTTACATAACATTTATTATTGTTTATGTATAATTTATGTCTTGGTCACGCTTTTATTCAGAAAGGCCTGGTGAAGAAAAATTCTTTTTTTAATAAAAAAATTAAAAACTAAATTAAGAAAGTAAAAATTTTCCAGCTTCTTTATAAAAGAAAACGAAACAAAAACTCTCCATTTGAACTTTCAGTGATTTGAACTCAGAGGTTGTGTGAGGTTTCCTTCATGAGGAGAACAAACAGAATATAAACCAGTGTGTTTACAGTGAATGTGTCAGGTCTGAGCTGCTGTGTGGACCAGTTAGAGAGCAGCAGCTGGATCCCAGTGGTTGGACTGGTGGACGACTTCAGTGAGGAGTCGATGACATTTGGCTCTGGTAGAAACTCTGCACACACAAACACACAGGAGGAGAATATAAGCACAAAGCAGAGCCTCTCTGTTCTCTTTATATACAGCAAAGTGAAAGAATGATCCTTTAAAAGTTATTCAGCAGTTCTTGGTGAGTGTTTGGGATATAATATGTCACATGTAACACCTGTGGATGATATCCAACAACTCTGAAGCAGAAATATTTTTTCAGTCACAAGTTAGAGGCCACAATCACTTTTTGGCAGCTTGAAAATTACATATTATCGGTATTAATGTTCTTTCAAAAGTTATTCAGCAGTTATAAAGGACTGTTTGGGCTCCTATGTGTCACATGTAACCCTTCTGGATGATATCCAACAAGTTTGAAGCCGAAATATTGTTTCAGTGACAAGTTATAGGCCACAATCACTTTTTGGTAGCGCTAAAATGCCATGTTCTCAGTCGTTATTCTGAACAAACAAGAAAGAGTCATGGTGATACTGGCACAATAGGTCTTTATTGTTTTAACTACTA